GCTTCATAATTTGCATAGTAAATGAATCAATACGAGCGTCAGGAACGGTCGTCCATTTGTTGGCGTTCGGGTTGGTATGCTGCGGTTTGATATGGCTCTTATAGCTCTTATAAGAACTCCTTTCTTGGAAAAGGCGCCATGCAGCACCTGCTCCGAGTTGCGGGATTCCGTCCTGCCAGGGAATTAATCCTACTCGTCTTAGGAGTTTATCGTGGCAAACGCATCAGCGCGGAAAACCGAAGATGCAGGTTCAAGTCAGTGGTGCGACTTTCGCCCATAACTCGCACTCTTGTAATAAGTACAAAAAAACCTCTATCGGACCTAACGTCCCCCCCCCTTCCCCTAGCGACAACACGACCTTCTTCGCTGGAGGTTCTCCAAGGTGCGACGTGTTCTGATTCTATCATCCGAGTACGATTCTGCATCGGTTCCGCAAAAGCTGCTAATGTGACATCCGGATTTTTTTTTCAATTTCTAGACGCCAGGAAATTAAAAAGGAACGGAAATAGCTCGCTCACAAATTCTTTGCACTGGCGAGTGAGATAGATATATTTCGTTTCTCTCACAGGTACGTGGCCCGATAAATCCCCACCAAGCGTAGGACTGATACTCTTAGCAAGACAGAATTCGGCGCCCTTGAGCAGTAGTTGCGTGGCGCCTTTCCCCCTGTATGGTGCGCTCATAGCGCTCTATCAGGCTACAGCATACCAACCCGGACGCCCACCACACCTTCCCGCCCACAAATAGACGAGCCATGCCGATGCTCGCGTCGCTTCATTTGCGAAGTACAGTATGAAGCGAAGGGATCGATATGAAATGGCTCCGGTGCTGCATGCATATGCAGGTACACAGATGCAACAGTACCTACCGTAGCAGTTATTGGCAGGACGATATTGGGAAATTCGCCCGGAAGTGCTCATGAGTCGTGTAGAACAAACACTTTGTAGATTTTCACCGTTTCACTTCGTTTCTTTTTCGTCCTTTTTGCGCTATATAGCACCACTACTAGCACTTTTGACCCGACTACTAATTATCGCGCCTTATGCTCTTGACAACTTTCACAAGCATTGCACCCAGCGCCCCTTTCTTCTATAAGGATTCATGCTCAGCAGGAAGTCGTTACCTGCTCAGCAGGAAGTCGCTCTTTTGACCTTCTTCCATGTAGAATACGCGAACAAAAATACTTCATAGCTCAGCTACCTTGGATCAGAAAATCCTTTGAGAGACTTTAAAGGCTGATTTGAGACTAACGTTGGAAATGCCTTGAGTTCGCGTCCCATCAGCAGCTTTTTAGAACAGAACGATGTTATCACAACCATAAGATCACATTGGGTTTATACCGAAAGCCTATAGTTAATTAGTTTTGCCATTAGCACATCCTCCGATACGAAGGAGCATTTCAGCAAGCGAACAAACAAGTCGAAACACTGGTGAAATGAAAAACCTGCGCACCAATCCGGTAGTTTATATATTAGAATAATCCTTCACCAATAGAACTCAGCAGCTGTAAGACAATTGGGAGACTAATCTAACGGTCCTCATGGGGACCTTCGTCATTTATACGAGTTGAGGGATGAGATGAAATCTACTAAAGAACGACTGAACTTGATTAGAACTCGCTGACACACTCATGACGAGGTTTCAAGCAAAGAGAGCATGTCATGATAGGAGGTGGACGAGTCGTGAATGAGCCCCAAGTGTGATCTCGTCGGCGAGACGACGGAAGCTGATGCGTTAAGCCGAGGAGGCGGCGATAACAATAGCAGAACGTCATCAGTTCTTGACCACTTGCGGACCAACTCCACCCCACCCATTCTTTCTCGAGGTTTCGAACGCGACCAGCGACGTCTTCCAAGCTAGCAGGATCACTGTAGACTTCCTGAAGCCTATTCATTCCAATGCAGATACCTTAACACCAGATCAAAATGGAGGATTACCGGAAAATCAGTCTAATCCAAATTCAGAAGAAACAGTCGCAAGGTGAGCTAAAGGAGTTGAATACTCGCTTCTCGTTATATTTTCTCCCTTTTTTTGTAGATAATTTTTTTATGTTTCGGCAGTTCATGGTTTTTAAAGTCAGAGTCCACGCTCACATATAATTGTAACCATTTTCAGCCGTTCGTAGGGGATGTAGCAAGACAGAAACGGACCGTCCTAAGGTAGCGACGGTAAAGCGCAAAGTTGCTCAAGCGACTCCGCCCTCTTTGATAGCTGTCTCATGTGCCGTCCCTTCGTTTGCATGCTCTCTCGCCACTTTCTCTGCCATCTTACTTCATACCCACGATTCTTTACCTCTTAGCATAAGGAGGGCTTCGGTTAAAGCGTTTTTGATGCTTCCTCAGGTCTTTTCTCCACCGGCAAGTCAGCTAACACATATGCTTCTGTTTCTCACTCCGCTACCGACAAAGTTTTTGCTGGCTGGTCGCGAATTCTGCCTTGAATGTGCCCACTAGTTCTATTAGCTTTGACTTTATTTTTCAAGTCAATATCAGCTTCCCTTTGTTCTTATTTTCTTCAACGTTCTTTGTCGTAATAGTCATTAATTGATCTGCTCTTCTCAAAAACGAACCCCGCGGTTGCATGTTTTGGTAGTGGCGTTCAATAAGTAGTATATACCTATAGTCGTTAAGTGACCCTCCAGGGAAGAGCTAAGGAAAAAACATTGTGAAAACACTGTTAGTACCCCTGGCAGTCTCAATACTCGAGTCCGGACCTGCTCGCATTATGTCTACTTCCCTTGAAACTCGTTCGTTGACATACGGTAAAATCAGCGCTTCACCTGCAGGCAGAGCAGAGAAGGGATGCTATTGTCTAGGATGTCGTATACTTCTCTTCCAGAATTCTTTGTACTTGCTGATCCACCTTTCATGATTTCGCTGTTCAGGTCCTTACCACCATGGGGACGAAATCACTGCAAAATGTTTTGATGTGCCCTGCTCTCCTGAAACCCTACTTCTAGGCAGAATCGGCGGCGTTCTCGATCTCGAGCAGTTGACGGTGTTCGGAACTGCTGATCCCACACTTGCGTATGGCGGAAAACTCCAAGCATCGTCTTCTCCACAGTGCCTTGAATAACGCATCCCGCATGCTTGGGATCCACAATAGGTACATTAAAAATCAGTAAGCGTCCACTCTGTATGCTTCCACACGCAGGAAACAACACGTTTCGCTCACGAAATGAAGATTGAATGCTTCAATTTCAGTGACACCAGTCCTTCTGTCACCTATGGCTGAAACAATCCCAGTCCGGTAAATAGTCCTTCATTAGATAATTCCGCGAGGCGTTGCGATCGCTGCGCGTATGCACCCCAAATTGGACATGGAAAAACTGAAGAGAAAAGAATAGCAGAAGTTTGAAGCGAAAAACAGGAAGAGGAGGCTCCAAGGGTGCCTGGGAATTTGGGCGCCTTCTTCACGCATTTCTCTGAATTCTACGTGAAGAGGATAGCTTTTCTACAAGTACCTTTTGTGAGCTAGTTAAATGTATGCTAAGTGGTTGACCTGTTTGACTTCCTTTTACTATACAACCGTTTATCCCCTGTAAAGCGATCCCGTGAGCTTGCGCTGTCTGTGGGTGGAGGGGGAGGAGGGGAGGGGAAGCTCGGGAGCGCATCAAGACTCTGACCAGGTCAGCTATAGACACTGGGCTTTCGCCGCATGCAAAGATCATTAGATTTGGTCGCAGTTGCAAAGGACGAAGGGGCCATAGATAAGACCGCGTGGAGATCACGAAGGGGCGCGAGTCCGTCTAATGACGAACTTATCCAAACGATGTTATGATGCACAGGATTTGCTATGTTTGGCGCGGCCCCAGCCCGTTCTCCACCAGTTCTTAGGCCGATAAGCGACAACTACTGGTAGAATTCGACAATTACAAACTATATACCTTTATCACTTGACAGAGGAGAAAAAAGAAAGGGCGGCTTTTCGTCAAGTCAAACCAGCCCCTCCTTGACACGCCCCCTCATTCACAGCGAGCAAGGCTGTACAAACGTCAACTGCACAAACATCAAATCAGATTCCTATGTATACATGTGTAAATAATCTCTTTAAAGACAATTCCCGCATCAAGCGTTTTAAGTTCTAGGTGCTCAACTATGAACCAGTAGTCCATAAGTAACTCTTCAGCAAAGAAAGAAGCGAAGAAAAACATTGAAACACTTTGTGCAGAAACCTCTCAGCAGTGTGCGCCTTTGACAGGTTTGTCGGAAGTCGGCAAGCCCAATCAGTAGGATTCATGCAACCGATTCCCGGCAAGATCACAGGAAATCACCCTACGTAGCTCCAGCCGACGCTAATGTAAAACACGCAATTTGCTTGTAAGCGGTTGTCTTGCAGAGTGAAAGTAATCGTGGTTGCAATGATCACGCGTTCTCAGCGGCTTTCTTGGCATGCTTCTTTATCTCTCTCTTTCGAGTGACGAAAGTGTTATAATCTCTGCGATTGCGGACAACGATGCCAGATTCACGGAGGCATTTCAAGGACCACTTGTTCGCCGGTAACTGTCTTCAGAAAAGTCCAAAGTCCCTTGGAAAATAGCTAGAAAGTACAATTGTCATCCCTATCTTGGGTCACATTATCCCTGTTATCTCACCCACTTGCACTCACTCACTTGCTGCGAGGACAAATTCCGTTTTTTTTTCCAACCTTTGGCCGACATTAGTTTTTCGTACCCAAAATGTTGCGTTTTCGTTCTTCGTTCTTCTTTTTTGGAGTTTAACTGTTCATGTGTTTTTGCTTTTTCGGCTCGAGGCTCCACTTATAACAGCTCTCTTACGGCCATCAGTTATCATCTGTGCCGGCCGCAAGCATCTTTCACCACATTTATGCTCTCGGAGATGGCACGGCATGATGATTAATCACCCATTTCCCAAACATGGCAACAACTTGTCACCACCGAACTAAATGATGGAGGAAGCCCTTGACTTCCTCCACGTCCCACCTCCTCCAACTTCTATATTCGTTTTGCAGTGGCCAAGGCGGCTGTGCTCTCCTCGGCGATGCTGACACGAAAAAATTCTTCCGGGCGAGCAGGTGTGACTTCATTTCCTGGGAGGGAAAGTATCGCCGCCATTTCGGACATGCTGACTACACAGCAAAAGAAAGTTGTCAAACCTGGTGAGTTGCTCATAGAAAAGAGGAGATGCATTACTAGACTTTCATTAATCGTCCTTTAGGCTACATTTCAAGCGAGCGGCTGGAAAGTGCCTTGAAAATTGCTTGCATCATTTCGCTGATCACGGTCTGCCTGCACACACCGAAAACCTTCGAACGGTTGTGGCCGCTCACTTACATTGTGCTCTGTCTCGACCTGGTTTCCGTGCTAATACTTACATTGGAGGTGATGCTCCGAATTCATCACGAAGGATTGAGCCTGGTAAGTGGGTGTTTGCAACGCCAAGAAATTCCCTTCATATATGCATGAAATAGGGCGACATTAAAGGATGATATCAAACCCGTTGGCCCATGAACCAACATCTTTTTGCGGTCCTTGAGAATGCAATTACGGCTTGGTCTGTTTTAGCAGCGAAACATTGATCCACCAGAAAGCTGCACACCCCCAAAATTAATCCCTATTCAGCTGAACGGAAAAGCGCTAAATGCCCGGTTCTGATTGCGAGCAGTGCGGAACTCCGAGTTCTGAAGCTACGAATCCGACTGGATTCGGCACTTTTTCAGCAACGGCAACAGTTTCCAGAATATGAGCTGGGTTTTTATTGGAACATGTTCGTGAAGGCTAGAACAAGACCCAGGTTTTTTGATTAGAGCTCAGCGGGGGTCTTCTTCTAACCTCAGAAATGCCAATGTTACATCTGCTTGATACCAAGGCTTACCACTTTTTTGACTATTGCCGCCGAGGCAGAGGTGGTGCCGTGGCAGAAGGCACTCTTACCATTAGCGTGATCCTGAGTTCAAATCCCCGGATCAACTCCCGCCCAGACCAACCGAACCTTCTACCATCCGGGGACGGTAAATTGGTACCAGATTTGCCTGGGAGGATAAAAAAACGCTGACTTGTACATTGGCTGGCCCCGCAAGTCATTGTATAGTTCCCCCCCCCCATTCAATAAGGCACTACGATTCTTAGTGGGAGTAGAATGGCGCATCTCACAAAGAGATTGGTCAACGGCGGAGACTTTTTTTTCCTCTGACTGGCGGCAGTGCCTATAGAAACTATTGGAGCCTGCCAATTTTCAAACCAGGGGCATATTTTGTTCGAATCGAGGAAAAAACAAAATGACCCATGGGATCCAATTTAAGCTAATTTGGTTGTCTAAGCTGTATTGTCTCGTGCAGCTGAAGTTTTGGCTAAAAGTTGTGATATACAGTGAATTTCAAAAGTAAAAGGGGAGTCCCGAAAACGGTTGTTCCTAGTTACTAGGTGAAGGGTCCATGGTTTGCTGCCTAATTTATTGAATTCGGAGCGCTCCAAAGCCGTTGCTCACTTTTTCAGTGAGAACGACACGAGCTATACATTTCAATCAGAAAATGTGAAAATCTCCTGAGTTCCAAAATAAAGGTCCCACATGTAGGAGGATTTCAAGTGAAAGAGTAAAAGTTCGTCTTCTTTCCAATTGTTTTGCGCTCATGTGGCCCTAATTTGTGAAAAGTCATTAGCCCTGCAATACACTCGCCATCCGGGAGTTGATCACGGCGGTCGTCATAGGGCCGCAGACGCGGCAGCGACCGCGTGCGTAGGAACTGTTTGCGGCAACCTTTCACTGTTGCTTTTTTCAAGGTTAGCTGTTCCCTGTCTTCACAAAGTAAATTATGGTTGAGATTTCTGACTTTTGCGGACAATTGGACGATTAAACAAACAATAAACAACACCTAAAAAGCACTGCGAAAGACACTCCATTGGAACAAAAAAAATCACGTTTTAATATACTTCTATAGACAATAACGAACGCAACTTAGCTCGAAAAAATAGGAAGTATTGTGAAAACTAGAGAGAGAATCGTCAAATTAGGCCGGAATTCGACTGATCGCCGCGGTAGTGACGCACCGAGCCGCGTCGCGACCCTTTGACCGGGTAATCAATCGCCCGCATGACGACTTTAGGTATTGGCGATTCAGGCTTACCATATTGGGAAATAAGCACATGAGAAAGCTGACTGCTTAGACCGCTTCATAGCTGCAAAATTGGCCGTTCTGTGCAGCTGACCCTGGATCAAACTTTTTTTGGAGAGATCGATGTCGCGTCGTTTTCTGCGCGTGTAGTGTCAAACACGCACACCCAACACAGGAGTTCGCTTCTGGTATCAAGACTTACCACCTTGAGAACCACTAACACTATTCTAACAATTGAATATTGTACAAGAGTCCGTGATAAAGGGTCCCCGTCTTGATGAGCAGCAGAAACAGCTCGATGGAAGCCGCCAGGAGGAACAGAGAGACCTAAATGGGGCTCCGTGGGTGGTTTCACAAGATAGGGAGGAACGCTCACTATGGTTTCCATATCAAGGACTAAGGTACGATAACTTGGTACTCGTTCTGGCATGGTAACAGGGAAGCTATTCAGTTGGAAAATGGAGGCGAAGCGAAGTGAAACGGTCAGAAGCCTGCAAAAAATCCTTTGTCAAGCGTGGCTCAGTGAGCAGTTTCGAACGAGTTTCCCGTTGACATTCTGCAGCCGCTTCATATCAATCCCTTCGATGCATATTGTACTTCGCAAGTGAAGCGATTTGAGCATCAGCATTGTTCGGACTTTTGGGGGCGGGCAGGCGCGGTGGTCGTCCGGGTCGGTATGTTACAGCTAGATAGGACAAGTGTACCTTCTTTGAAAGGAGCGCCACGCAGCGCCTGCTCCGGCACGATATTCTTTTGTGCTAGGCGTATCGACCTTGTACTTGTTGCTTATCATGCCACTTGCCTTTAAGGTAGTAGCGATTAATGCAAAACAATATTTTTGCACCAGAAAATGAGCATTACTATATCTAGGAGAGATAAAAACTGAACCATGTTACACAGAACTACTTCTTCTAATAGTGAAGTGAATTATTTATCTTGCTCGTTTTCAGAAATCTCCTCTATATTCCACACGAGATGGGCCCAGTTCGACCTATTTCACGTTTATTAGTCATCTGGTTATCGTGGCTTCGCTACATTGGGCTGATCGCAGATCTTCGGGCTACACTGCTCTTTCTCAGCTCCATAACGCAAGTCAGCTCATTTCAGATTGTTTGTGTGAAAACACATTAGAAAGTAGGTTTCAGGATATGGTTCGGTGTGATACGATCCGTGAGACCCTTCATTATCATACGGTTGATACGTTTGGTGATAAAGTTCAAACTGCCGAAGGCGAGAATCGAACAGCTACTCAAGTAAGCGCACTCTCATATGTACTGGGTTCGCGAGTAAGCCGTGTGTTTTTTTTCATGGTCTTAATTAGAAACAAAGAAAAACAAACATTGGGGAAAGGAACACACTCCAAAGCACAGATGATCAGATGAAATGACAGAAGTAAACCCATGCTCTTCAAATAGGGAAGGTCTGAACAATGTGGGTGATAATATCGAACGTAATAATCCTTCTAATAGTTTCACACCTGTTTTTACTCTTTATTTCCTGCGGTATGGTTATCAGTTCTAATGAAATGTTTGTACCTGCACCAACTAACACTGAAGTTCCACCACAACAACTCAAGCTAGAAAATTTCGAGAGGGCAAAGGGCCGTGCTTCAGCTATCACATTGTCATATCGTCTGCTATCAACGCTTCGAGGGAAGGTCGTGCAGTCTTAGAGACGAAGTGAGGTCGCCCAGCTTACTGACTAAAGAAATTTAACAGGTCTGCTGTCAGCAATGGCTTGCACACCTACGCAAGCGCCTTGGAACTGGAAAAGCTCAAATCCCCTTTCGGAATTCCGGAACGATTCCTTGAAGAGAATTGCGGAAGTTTCTTTTTCTTGCGCACTATCTTACGCACTGGCGCTTGTGGACACCACGCTTGGAAGCACGCGCAGTCTTTGATGAGCCGCCTTCTAAGCAGTTGGTCAAGAAAAGTATTCGGCGGCCGCGTTTCTTGTTTTTTTTTCCAGAGAAATTGGCTATGAAAGACTTCAAAGCTGAACAATAGATCAGCGTGCTCCCGCACACATGTTGGCACCCGTAGAGTACTCCATACGCGCTTTATTGTCGAACGAGAGGTTGCCCTCCCCCGAATTACCTATGGGGACAAAGCTCCGTAAAAGTCTGAAATTTTTTTGAGAGATAGAATAGAATAGATTCTCACGTGACTTCATAAAAGTTAGCCTCTCGTGAGCCAGTCATGATGTGGCAACCGTTCTCAGCGTGCTAGACTACCTATGGTTATGAGTCTTCAGCTGCCTTGGTGATCTAATTGAATTTGTGGGACGACAACTGTATGAAAAGAGTGCATGTAAAAACATTCACAACTCGGTTCACTCAGCGGATCCGCAAATTCCGAGAACAGATTTTGATTCAGCGTCTCAAAATGCATATACCACACTGCATATAACACACTAGTTATACACCTCACTGCAAGTTGTCGGCTTGACCTGTTGGGGTATCCTTATAAGCTTAACCTAAAGGAGGAAGACGCACAGGGGATCTCTGTCTAAGGTGTGAAGCGGAAACCAAACTAGTTATTTGGGAACATTCACCGCGTAAAGGCATCATTAGTTAGGGATTTTGGTCGAGTCCGCCGACGTCCCCCTTTCTTTAGGGAAATGGTGCGAACCCCCACCCCCAGGTTCCTTCCTCATCGAGCTGTCGAGCGGAAGAGGGAGAGGAGATGCATAGCACACACGAAACAGGAAAAAACCACGAAAACTCCTTCACAAACCAGAAGTCACAAAAGACAAACACGACTCCACCCTCCCTTTGACAACGTCCCTCAAGCATGAAGAGTCAACTATCAAAATAAATTTTCTTGGCCCAAATATGACCCGCCTCTCCCAGCGACCAAATACGACCCCCTGTTAGGGAATCCTCAACAACGATGTGCCCCGCTCACAACCAATCATTGCTGTAATCTAAGTCATAACATTATCCTTCTACTATACAGGGAGGGTGGCAAAAAAAGTCACTTTTCTTCATTGACTTTCGAGGCGCTATAAGGTACACTTTATAAAATTCTGATCGGACATTTTTACCATCATATTAAAGAGCATATTAAACGCTATCATGACCCTCCGCCACAGCCTTCTGGACGAGCGCCATCTAGAGATTCTGGCACGCGACGGCGATGAGGTGCCTGAGATCAGCGAGATAGTCGATTTCTCCGCCACCGTAGACCACCCTATTGAACGCTGCCCGAACCGGGTAATCGAGGGGATACAGGTCAAGTGACCTACTTGAATATTCCACCTTCTTTAGGTATTCAGCCCCATTCCATTCCAAGTAGGCGAGTGTTTCTCAATGCGCTGCGATTTCCCATGTGGTGCCTAATGTATAGCAGTTACAAAGTTTCCGGAAGGTAGGAGGCGACGAACATGTGAGGAGGACTATTCTTCACGAGATTGCACGAGGTAACGCCTAGGGCGCACTGAGCCTCTATGTGCAGAGGGTCAACGAGGAAAATATTGGTTCTTTCCATTCCAGGTACGTTCCGGTCCATACAATCAACCTTGGTGGACTTGTGGCGGAGATGATGTCCTAAGACCGTCGACGTTGTCAGAGCTGCTAATGTTGGAGATCCTTTCATTCGAGGAGTACTGGTCTACACGAGTAGTGATGCCCATGGGGTGACCCATCACTAGAAGTTTCGCAGCTGTTTGCGAAGGTGACATGAATTCAAAGGTTTTTCTCCAGTTCAGGCTGCGACGCTGCGATGGTGTACATTAGAAGGTGATGGGTGAGAAGCCAGCTCCTGCTTATAGAGGAACATTTGTGTATCTTCCGCCTTGGTACTCGTATTACAGTCGTCAATCCTCTGCACTTGGTAGAGGGCGTAGTCGGCGAGAAGGAGCGCGTGCACACTGATTTGAAGGCCTTACTCAAGCCTTTCGTTGAAAACGCGGATGGGCGACAAAAGGTGATAGAAAAACGAGTAACACGAGAAGGGATATAATACGCAAGGTAATGTCACTCTCTGATTCAAACGATTGGTGGCAGTACGGGTGCTGACGACCGCGCCGCACTCAGCCGCACTGACATTGACTATCAAGTGCACGGATGACGACTGTACGTCCTCTGTCTGGGCAGCGAAAAGTTTGCTGATATGTGACTCGGTCAAAGTGACTTTTTTTGCCCCCCCCCCCTGTATATAGCCAACGATAAAACCCACTTGTATGTCTGTGTGGGTCACGATATTCATAGGTCACATCGTAGCAGCAGGATGCTGGTTTCAAGAAATGGTATAAGGAGCAGGAACATAGCACCTGACGAGAGAAGCGTTAGGAACGAGGGTTACCAAACTACAGCTCGTAGTAACAGTGAGACGTTGGTTCGAAAAAGTGACATACATAAGGACGCCACGGGAACACTGCTGGATTCGTAATTCTTGAATTTTTACAATTTTTAACTTGATAATTCTTCGATGTAATGTAATTAATTGGTAGAATAGTAAAGTGCATTCGGGAAAATTGGAAGAATCCAATGCAGAACTCGGCATTGCAATAGCAGTCAAATCGCTGCTCGTGTGTACTATGTGGCTAAACAGCTATCGTCATAGGTCTTACGACCTAGGCATGCTTCTTCCAACTACTAATTACCAATCCGGCTCGATACATGGACGGCCAAAGCTCGCAGACCCGAGACAAGTTTGAAAGAGAGACGTCTTAATTTGTCCCGCGTCAACATGCATTTCAGCGTCTAAATGCTGGTAAACCAGCCAGCCCCTGTTATGGTTATCCCTAACGTTTGGTTACAGTGCCATGGAGGTCTGTTTAGAAAATCAAAACGGTGGTAACTCACTCTTTATCTCTGAGACGGGGTGGGCGATTCATTTGAGCATGGTATAACAAATTACTCGTTGGCTATTTCAGATTGAGAAAAGTGACATCTAGGTCAGTGTAGACAGAGACATGACCACAACTGAGTATAAATGAAAATATCTCTTCAAAGGCACAGCCGCCGCCACGTTAGGTTGAAGTAAGCAGCCACGCCTACCCCATCTCAGGGATTTCGAGGGTACATCACGTTCATCAAGTCACAGAGGGTATAGTTCCACTGAAGCATCTCGAGGAATGTATT